ACTAGCAATACTTTCACTGCATATATCACAAATAAGTATCGACATTATACTTCGAACTGGTGAAGTCTATTTTTAATCGAGCCGGTCCAATGCTGACTTGCCAATTCGGTTCTAAGTGTGGCCTGTATTGGTTCGAATTGATACTGAAAGTGTGGGAGAAAAGCAGACTCATTTTATTGCTCTGAAAATTGGATTTGCTATAGTTCAGAGGATATTGAAATAATACATTAGCCTCCAAGATATTAATCCCAATTTAATAAATGTATGAAATCAAAATAAAAAATGGTTTGGTATTATTAGATAACTCATTTCAAAAAACATGTTTCATTGTCATTTCAATGAGATTTGAAGCACAGATCCACAGAATATAAAAGTTCTGTTCGATTGTAGAAAGAAGTCTAATGCGTTATATCTAGTCGTGACTCAATAAAAATTAACTCATTATTTGAGAAAAAGATAATATTTTCTTCTTGGATTTCACCCCTGAGAAAACGAATTCATTTTTCATTTGTTAATTTCAAGAAGAGCTTTGTATCATTACTCTCATTAGACAGCGAAGATTGGAAGTGGGGTTTATCTACATCTGTAAAAGGCGATTACCACCCTAATCTATTTTTCATTCAACGTAAATGATCTTTGTTGATGTCTAGGACGCATCTGTCGCAATCTGGTATTCAATCAGTACTACTCATATAGAATACGGAATAGCACCGTTTCGATTGCTCTTGGTGATTTCGATGGTGACAGTCGCATGGATTTTACGGTTTCCAGTATCAACGAAAACATACTCTATATTTTTTTTGGCAACGACAATGGAAGTTTCGGAACAGAAACAACTTTGATAACTGGTAGATATCCATATACAATCGCTGTTAGCGATTTCAATGAAGATAATCACGCAGATATTGCTGTCACTCATGCTCTCAATAGTGACGTAGGCGTTTCACTCGGCCTTGGTAATGGTACTTTCCTCTTACAAAATTCTTTTACAGTCGGCATCAATCCATGTTCAATTTCTATCGAAGATTTCAATGGTGATCAGCGCCTTGACTTGTTGATCACGAACTATGGCGACAATAGTTTTAGCGTCCTTCTCGGGAGTGGCAATGGTACTTTTGCACCTCAAAAATCATTTTCCACAGGCATTTATCCAATCACAGCCGCTGTAGCTGATTTCAATCACGATAATAACTTAGACGTTGCTGTCACCAATCATGGCAGTAATAGCATTAGTGTCTATCTAGGCCGTGGCGATGCTACTTTCTATGAGCTTTCGTCATATGCCACCAGAACCAATCCATGGGCACTGACTGTGGGTGATCTGAATGGCGATCATCACATGGATCTAATCGTATCCAGCTGTACAAACGGCACGATTGGTGTGTTGCTCAGCAATGGCAATGGTACTTTTCAAGCAGCAATTCACTACTTGATTGGAACCTGTTCACGTGCAATCGCAATGGGTGACTTGAATGGTGATACTTACTTGGATGTTGTCGTTGTCGGGACTGACTCAAATTATTTTGATATATTGCTCGGTGATGGAACAGGAACTTTCTCTGCAAAACGACATTTCTATACAGATTACGGTCCAGTATCGGTTGCTCTCTATGACTTCAATAGCGATGGTCGACTGGACATCGTGATCGCTCACTACGCAGGTACTATAATAGTATATCTGAACACATGTTAATGTTTTGAAACTTTTCTTGAACTAAATTCTTAGAGAAGGCACATCGCTCAACACAGCCTCTATCAATTATGCTTCATTCACTCGCTTATTTGCCTTTCTCGCGAATTAAATGCTTCATAATAAAGATCTTATAAGAGCTACTTTCACAAATGATATGCAGTAGTTCGTTTTCAATCTACTCTCAAATGATTCGACAACACTGCAGATTATTCTTCACCAGATTTCATGTCGAAGGTGAACGAATGGTATAAAACTTGACCAGAATAATGCAGCACAATAGTCGACTGATTACATAAAGAGTCATAAAACATGTTTGTCAAAATTTCAAACATATTAGTAAAAAGTCTTCCGAAAATGAATCATACATGCTTCTCCTTCTGCCTACAAAAGATCTTTTAATATAAACGAATGGACTTTGTAATGGATGATAGGAAAGTCATTTGTAATTCGATATTGAGTTTTTCAGATTATTCTTTCAATTCTCTTTTGACAAACATATCACAGTGGACAGGATCAATAGAAAGAGGATGGTTAGGTGCGAGAGTGGTGTGAGTGAAGAGAAGATCTTTATTCATATCTACCTACACTTATACCCATTCACACCCTCATATCCTTTTCGATCGCCTCGATAGTGTTGTTCTTTTTTCTCTTAGGATAGCTATACTTTCAATTTCAAATAGCCAAGAACAGTTTGGCCGTATTATTGATACTATTTTTCCCGTATAATTATTGATATCTGCTCTCTACTATTCAAATATTTAGTATTTTGTTGAGCTCATATGAGGCTTCGATTTTTCAAAATTTAAAAACTTCTCTAGTATGGAATCAGAAAATCTATTATTGGATAAAATTCAGCATGGCTAGCATTCCTTCGACAATTCAACATTGAAATAGTTGAAGTTGAGTCTTTTTTTATTGCTTTACATTGGCGAAATTTTCGATGAAATTCTCGGGTGTAGGTATGTGTACGCGTGTGAGTAAGAGGAAACCCAGCTACTTACCAATACTGCACACCCACACCTACATCTGCTTGTGATTTAGTTCTATTTGCCTGTTGATATAATTGGCAATAGTGCAAAGAAAATTAAAATATGGAGTTCAATTGATTTAATTAATGAGAATAACAACTACAATGTTCTTTTATGCATATGAATGTGGAAAATTAAAATTGAGGAAAAGGATTACAAAATTCGACCGCATTGGATTAATGTGGACCTTTGTTCGACTGAAGAAACATAAGTTTATCTTCTTTTCATGATACTCTATCATCGGTTTGTGCACAAAATACTTTTTAATATATAAAAGCATATATCGAATGGTCCAAAAGAAATGGTTAATTTTTCATGCGAATCAATATCTATATAATTTCAATTTTTTTTCTGTCTTCATAACAAAGACATTTGCCGTGAAGTTCTTTACAACAACCATATTGAACCTTGTATTATAAAATAGGCAGATTGAAAACAGTGCGAAAAATATGGAAAAGCTCCAAAACCGTCAACTTTCTAAACTACTCTTTGACTTTCCAAAATTATTTCTAACCGCTTACAAAGGTGACAGGATTTATAAAATAAGTTTTATGATGGTGCCAAGTCTACTCTTTGTCATGATATATCATAGAATTCATAAAAATCTAGTGTTACAATAGAGAGGATGACTTTCTTGAAATAGACTAATGTACATGAAAAATTTTTTCGCTTCATTCAGTCTATTGGACATCTTCTGATTGTATCCAATTAGAAACGAAAGGTAGAAATCTTTAATGACTACAAAGCGGATAGTTAGATTTTCATATTTAGCACAGAGAAACAATAAAATGTCAAAAATCCGAATGTTTGACTAGAAAATTGACGGCTTTACATTTTCTTAAGATTATGTTCGTCGAGTTTTTCACTTTTTTATTTTCTTAGAAAAATTCACTGTGTTATCTAAAAACGACAACATAAAGTTGATAAAATCATGAAAGCATATCTAGATAGGTAATATGTAACCGAATATATATATATATGTATAGTTAGAGTGTTCGTTTCCATCTTAACTTATTTTATTTAAACCACTTCTTTTATCAGGATAGTGGTTAATCAACACTGATTACGATTTAATTTATAAATTTAAAAAATGAATATGAAATGAATTAGTAAAACAAATAGTATCTCAGAAACAATGAATTTGCCAATGATTAAATCAATTCTCTTAACTTTTCAACGTTTGATGTACATTCGCTTTTAACAACTCCTAGCAATCGAGTTTAACAACTAGTAAAGATGGGGGATGATCGGCCGGTGGAAAAATAAGAAGAGAGGCGAAGGAAAAGCAGTCACTTAGTCGCTGTGTTCCAAAATTTTCTTTGGCAGCATGACCATGCGAAAATGAATCAGAATTACCTGTAGGACAGGATCCGCCTGCGCGCGAGAGGGGCACATTTTTGATATAAATAGTTCGATTAAAATTTTAATATTTTAAATTTTTTGCATGATGATGGATAATAATCACACAGTGTACGCATTCCAACAGATGAATAGTCATGGGATGACAAAAAAAGGAATTTTTTAACTAATTTCTTTTATTCTTGTCAAACTCTATTATTGTTTAATAATATTTATCTAAACATGAATCAACCGATAAACAAAATTATTCACATCAACTTATCCACTTCATCTTTTCAAATGAAAACCTTTTTAATCTGTTACCATGTGATACAAAGCATAAAACGATATTAATGTGAATAAACTCCTTCATTTCTGTAGTATACTTCAAGACCACTTCTAAAATCTGCAATGATATTATTCAATACTTAATCAAACATTGACATAGTCAACCCACACGTGCATTATTTCTTTTCTTTCCTCTGCAGAATCCAGCATTTTTTCATAATGCCATGAGAAAAAAGAATAAAACAGTTCTGCCAACGTTGTAAATATACCATCCATAATTTTTCTCCTATCGTTGTATAATGTATATTTTATAGGTATTATTCGTTCTTATATCTCAGCAGCTATGTTTTCTTGGTAGCTTTAACATTATGTTAATTCATACAGTGAGCAGTGAAACAATTAGTCTTATCGATAGATTAAAAAAAACAATATGTTACTAATTTAACTTAAGGAAATGCATGAGTAATATAAATATCAACAAAGACATATGATCGAATATATGATATTTCTTTGTGTGTAGCACTGATCTTCGATGATAAGACTTATATATCATAAAAATGTCATGTGTCAAGTATAAAAATACATCATCTAATGTCTATATATATATCATGGCTTACGTAGAAATAGAAAACCTATCTGCTTCTTATTTTTAGATGTTTATTATATTGTTTTTTATCTGTATTACTTATGCCCCGATTCAAAGCGTATATAGTTCTGATTCTTCTTTATCTGAATTCTACATAAAAAATGGTGGTCATGCTTTACATGCTCTTCAACGTCTTTTAAATTTTTTTGAATCTGATGCAAATAATCTAAATCTTGATGGTTTATATGGTTTACGTGTAGCACAAGGTCAATTAAATGCTCTTGATCAAAGTTTAAGATCAGAAGTCAATAAAAAAATTTATTTAACTGATAAAAATAATATTATTCATTCATTATCAACACAAATTGAACGTATAGCAAATATAAGTTTAAATAGAATAGCACAGGAAGCATCATCATATTTACATCGATTTTCTCTTATTATCCATCATCCATTTGTAATTAATTATCAATCGAGAAAAATTAATAAACATTTCATTGAACATGGTAAACGACATGCAAATTTTGATGAAGAAGAATCCGACAAATGTTTTGCTGAATTACTTGGTAAATTCAGAAATAAGACAAAGTTTTATTTAATTCGAGCATATTTTGTTTTTCATTACAGGTTCAAGTGATCATTCAAATTCAATTAAATGTCATGTTAGTGAACCATGTTGGAATTTGATGACATCTCCATCGGGTCAAAATTATGTTATAACACATCAATTAGTATGGTTTTTAATTGCAAAAAATATCGGTTGTATAAATCGATATATAGCAAATAAAAATTTAAATCATCTTGAAGATTATTTTTGTGCAAATATATATGAAGATGCTAAAAACAATATAATTAATAATTTTAATCAAGACTTATTTCTTGAACAATTATTACTTTGTTCCATGATTGGTTACGAAGATTTTTTACGTCTTGATTGGTTTAATACAATATTAGCATGGCAACATCCAGATTATGCTTGTTTTAGTGAGGCATCAGAAACGATTCAATTTCATCGTAAAATACGACGACATTTATTAGTGGAACAAGAGATGAGTAATGGTTGTTTATCACATAAAAGTGGTTTGGCAGCAGGATTGTTAGCTACTTATACGCGAGTTTTTTTGCAATAAAATAGCACATAATTATTAATTGATTGGTGAAGGTGGTTCTACTACCAAAGAAATGATAGTCAATATCTTGATTTTGTTATTTGACGCTTGATTCTATGTAGAAAAATTTTTACAACTGTTATATAAAAATATACTTTCAAACTGTAGAAAATTTTGAGAATTTTATATGTATTATAAACTGCTTTCGAAAATATTAATTCTCATCTAACCACCGGAGATCTTTGCTTGGACTTGAACAAGATTCATTTTAATACAAGACATCGAGAACATAGTATGAAATTTGTTTTTCTAGATATGTCTTAAAGATATTAATGCAGGATCGTCTCCAAGTGTGAAATCTGTCTTCTACCGAGACAATATTCATTGGATGAGTGCTCGAGACTAATAGAAAAATCTAGAATGCTTTAGTTTTTTCGGATCTTCGTTCTCGAGATATTGAAATTTTAATGAGTTTTTCAACAAAAACTATAGCCTTCATCAAATCGTACGAAAAATCTACTTTACAGTTTCGACTTTAAGCTTTGTATGAACTCAATTCTCAACGAAATCAGTTCATTTGAAAAGTTATAACTCTGCTAATATTTTCCTTCCAGAAATGTAATTAAATATATAAACTAAATTTGCTTTGACACTTGAAAGAATTTCAAATATTTAACATCTAGAAACTAATTTGATTCAAAAGTGGTTTTTCCATGTAATCTAAGAGGAGATACAGTCATACTCGTTAAATGAACATCGCCTCAGTCTAGAAGTTATTTGACACTTGAAGAGATTCCGTTGTGATTCTAGTAGTATAGTAATGCCAATCAATTGTCATTCATATGTTGAAGCAGGTCAAAATACGTAAGTATAAATTCTAAATCTACGATACATGATTTGATGAGTTGAGGACATATGCTCGCTAAATCAGGTAAAAAGGCATGCAGATATCTGAAGAGTCTATATAAGCATACCGTATTAGTCATCATTACAAATTGCTTCGATCTCATTAGCAAAAATAATGATTATTATTTACAATTAAGCGGAGAAAGAAATATTACAGAACAGTAATAAGTGTTTGATAAGTTGTATCTAGCCATCATCTATTGAATTTAGTGTTCGACTAAATATCTCAGCCGATTTGCAAATGATTTATGGGTTCATTTGGGCCATTTTTGCCCTCAAGGAGCAAACTTAATCATAAAATATGTATTGTTTCTGGAATAAAATCTGGAAAAAAATGTTCATCAGTTGGATGAATATTTTAGAAGCTTTTCTACATCTGACAACAGTTGTTGAATTTTAAGGAGAAGCAACCAATACGATATTTGTTCTCACAATATTCATATGAAGTGACGCAGCTTGTGTTTTTGATTACTTCTAACTTTGCTACAATGAACAAACTGGAATTTACTGCTAGTTTATAGCAAAACACTAAATGACCATTATGATTTTATCTACTGATTAAAAAAATTAGAAATTCAGTTGATTTGAATTACTATATTCCAACTTTTCTGCAAAACAATTTTGACGAGCTACTGGCAATGTCTCGATCTGATACCCAGAGAAAAAAGAATAGAACGTGTTTTCATTGAACTTCTGACATTTGTATCAATTACCTTAGAACTATTCCCTTGACTGAAAGGAGGATCATACAAAATGAAATAAGTTCGTATCTTCGCATGTGGATGTATAATCATGTGTCCAAACATATCTTTGGAACATCAAATTAATCATTTAAAATGGCTGCTTTGTACTAGACTTCCAAACCATCATATTTTTTTCACCATCTAGCTCTCGATCAATCGTTTGTTTCGGGCCAGATATGAGTGTGGCGGTGCAGTGGATTCGTATTGCTCTGAGTAGACTTGCGTGTGATTAGTTGAATAGATAGCGAAAAGAATGAGATCGACCGGCAAACCTAAATCCACACCGACATCGGTATCTGCATTAATATCTACATTCAGATTTACAAGAGTATACTCATACATACATTTGATATAAGTATGGATTGAACTTGTACAGCAGTATGTTACATAGTCAAAGTTGAACATTCAGTCGCGAATGAAATGAGTTGTAGCAACAAACTTTACTTGTTAATCTTTTATTAGTTCATTCTATTTTATCATCAACTACTTCTTATTTTTCTTATTATCATCAAAATCAAAAAAAAAATTCTCATGAAGAAAAGAAAAAACAATAAAGTATTCTTTCTTTTGTATGCTATCATGCTTCGAAGATGAAATTACTATTTCAGTCATCACTATTTACAAAGATTCAATAGTATTGAAAAAAATGAAATAAAGCATGTATTACTGCATGTAATTTTATTCAAGTAGGCGGAGTAAGTACTTTTTTCTTGACATCACGTAGAGACATTAAGTGCATGAGAATAGTTATAAAGTTTCTCTTGCTCTCTCTTTCTTTTTTTTGATTCTTTTATTTAGTCGACATATATTGATATCGAATGTTGAAGAAAGACAACACTTCTTGTTTTGTTTTCTTGTGTTGAACATTGGTTTTTCTTTTTGGAAACTAAATCAATGACAACTATTGATAATGAACATGAACAACTTGTTTCAATGGTAAATCATCTTATGGATGAACGTGATATATTATATCGTGAAAATGAATATTTAAAAGCTAAATTAAATGAATCAATACTACTCGAAACAATTCAAGAAATGAAAAAAGAACGATTTTTTTTATTAAAATTATTATCAAATTTAACAATAAACCATAATAATAATCAAGATGAACGATTACGATGTGTAAAACATCGGATGAAAGAAAAGTAGGTCGAATTCTTTCGTAATATGTCCACACTCTTAGAAATATTCTTAATGATACGAGCAATACAAAAGTTCTTGTACAAATGTTAAACTCAACTGTACTGAAACAGAAAAGGATAGAAAGTTCATTGTTTTCTCGTTAAATAGAGTTTGATTTTTGGAAAAACATGCTGTAACAATTTTCTATTTAGCTTTTACTTTGATCAGAAAAAATTTCATATTTTGATTAAGACTTAAATTTGTGATGTCCGTTTTGTAGGTAATATACATATAGGCGACAGAATATTTTGAATCTAGAATAAATTCAGTGATCTTTATACACGACTCTCAGCGGGAAGTTGAAAATAGGGGAAGGTCAATCTATTTATGGTATGCAGATGAAAGACAATTAGTGCTTCTTATTTCTAACTTACATTTTTTACATTATATAAAGCTGGTATAATTTCAGAAAAAAATTCTTTAATTCTGTCAAAAAAAAATGCGAACAGATGTCTTTATTTTATTTTGATGTTTAACAGAACAACGAAAATCTTGCGAGTTGTCCTCGAAGACGATAGAAACTTTTGAGAATTGTACAACAATTTTGATGTATTGGATGAATCTATCAGCTTAATGAAACGAGAAACAAATCTATTTTCAACAAACAATTAGAATACGATTGATTAAGATCGAGAGAACTATCTTGAGAGATTACAAAAGCATACACGAAAAATTGACTAAAGTGTTTATTTTAAAGCTTCTCGATATTCAAAAATATGAAACTTTCTTTTACATGAAGTTTCAAAATATAGACCAACAAAATTCTCGTAAATTAATTGTTAAGAAGCTTTATAGTCTGCTTTTTCGTATTTTCGAGAAAATTAAATCCATTGACGAGATGTGTTGTTTCAAAGTAAAGATTATGGTCTATTTAACAAAAGAAGAAATCAGCTTTCTTGAACCTTCTTTTTGAATACAGTAAAATCTGAAGGTTCTGCAAGAACTTGTCTATTATTCGTAATTTATCGGTTTAACTTCTTCGCTCTCCATAGGCGAATCTTCTAATATGTAAGGATAGTTCCTATATTTGTCATATATACAATAGTTCATTCATTCCCTTGTTTTTTTAGTAATACTGATTTTCTTTCATCACCTTCTTATCCAACATTCAGCAGTAAACCAGTTCATTATGATAATTCATCAGCTGAACAAAATTCAACTATTTCACGTCATAATTCGTCTCTAACAAATAATCATAATCGTGTTTATCGATTAAAAACCAATATTGAACAACAAAAACAAAAACAAAAACAACAACCAACAGTTGTTTATCGTATTGATAATTCAAAAGAAAATACAATGAATAATTTAGATCGATTATCATCATCATCATCATCATCGACTGCTAATATGAAACATCCACAGCCAAATAGAAAATTTTTTGTTTATAAAACATCGATGATACCACAAACACAAGAATCTAATAAATCAATTCGAAAACATGATTTTCAATTAAAACATAGTCAAAATTCTCCATTTCAACATTATCGTTCACAATCATTACAAGATTTAACATAATTCACACACACACATATATATATATATGAATTTGATATGTTTAGAAAACAATAATTCTATATGAAAAATTTTTTCAATTATTATTTCGTTGATATTTCAAAAATAAATTTCACAATAATTTATTTAATTTTTTTTTTCAATATCAAAAAAATCACTGGCATAACAACGAAAACATTTTGACAGATCATTATACACTGGTACACAAAAATATGGCTGGGTTACATGAATTTTGGCCTAGACTCAAATTACTCTCATAACTTCTCCTAAAAAATTGAAAAAATCCTTTAAAAAAAGTGTAGTACATTCTGTAGTGCTTAGCAGTATGCATTTTTAATAAAACGTTGAGTAGATTGTTCAATAATCTAACTGCTTGTTGAACAACTGAAACATTTCAACCACGAAATTCATATTGTACTTTTCATCTCCTGAGACATAATGGCATCTCTTTATGTGCTATTTGTTAATAAAAAAATGCTATCTTGCTGAACGAAATCTTAGAACTGTAGTTTGGTTTAAATGTGTATTACTGATAAGTACTTTTTAATAAAAATGCATAATGCTCTGCACTATAGAGTGTACTAACTACTCATAGAAATAAGAATTTTTAAGAGGACTTTGAGCTTGAACAGAAATTCTGATCTTCTATATCATTTTATTTACAATGTTTAGATAACCATTTAAGACCTTCTGCTAAACCAGCTCCACTTAAAGCTGAACAAGGCACAATGGCATAGGGACGTGTAAAATTTTCTAAATGTAATGCTTGTTGTATTTCAGCTGGTTGCATACTATTTGGAAGATCTTGCTTGTTACAAAGTACAAGTAAACTAATGTTACGCATTTCACGATCATTTAAAATTTTTTCTAATTCTCGACGTGCTTCATCAATTCGTACATAATCAGAAGAATCAATAACAAATATTAGACCTTGAGATCCAGTAAAATAATGACGCCATAATGGACGAATTTTATCCTGAAGAAAAAAAAAACAGAAAATGAAGATTATTATTTATTTCAATAAATAAAAAGAAAATGTTGATGAGTCAATCTTATTGAAGAAAAGAATATTTGATTGACTTCTATAGTTTATCCAAAATCGATTATATTTTACCTTGGATCTTTATGTCATAGATTCGAAATAAAACAGAATTTCAATAGTAAACTATTAACTACCGTAATCTATATATCAGAACTAATGAATAAAATAACTTAAAGAAAACATCATATATGATGTGAAATTTTTTTCTGTAGCAGAATACGAAAAACACACTTGTCTCAATTCTAGTAATGTTTTTATTTTGCTAATATTAGTCTTGATCTTCAAAAGATTATTTACACTATACTGATCCTTTTTTGCCATAAGAATTGCTTGTAAAAATAGGCGATTCGAATGCACAACTGATAATTGAAAATCCATTGTCGTCATCTCACAGAATACGCTAGTTTTCAAAAATCTCGATTGAAAATCTTGAGAAAGCCTTTAATGTTTGATTCGATGTGTCTTTATCTTCTATTCTAAAAATGAAAACCGCAGCTCTTGTTCATATGAAAAATTCTTTCAATATTAATTATTATTTCTTATACCAAAGATGCTGAGAACAAAAGCCATGGACCTCTAACACGTCCAAAGATCCTGATACAAACAGAAAAATTTATTTTTCGTTTTTCTCAAAATCAGTTTCTACACAAAAAAAATGTAGGGATAGCCCTCTTTGCCTGACATAGTACATTCGATCGAACTGAAACTTTTTTATAGCTATTGGACACTGTTTGGATACATCTTTTTTGTTTTATTTTGGCATATATTGCGCCGTTGATTTTACACAAAAGCTTTAGTAAAAAAAAAAAAGGCATGCACCTTTGGAAGTATGCTAAGTATTTTGATCTTTTTATTCCAATGGAAAGAGATTAAAAAGGAAAGTACCCCAAATAGTGTGTATTATATGTAAGAAAATAATTCAACTCTATCGGACTAATTGCGACTGAAAAAAGTGAAGTGATTTTTATCCTTTGCGATTCAAATATTTCCAAGAATGCAATATTTGAGAATTTCGAGTTTATGACAATTTTTCCTCTACTCATTGAGATCTATCTACTCTGAACTTTTCAAATACTTCTGACGAACCATTCTTCAAAAATCCTAGTGACGGGGGCGGAAATCTCTTTAATCTAGTCATTTTTTTTTTGTAATCAACCATACCAATCTTTTTATTTTTCAGTTGAAGAATAGTTCATAGTTTGTTTTATGAAAATTTTAGCATATATGTAAACGTTCTTTTTATGAAATCATGAACATCGTTTATCTTACTTGTCCACCAACATCCCATACAGTAAAATGAACACGATCTAAAATAATTGTTTCTACAGTAAAACCAACAGTCGGTACTGTTGAATGAAATTCTTGTAGACGAATACGAGAAAGAATTGATGTTTTTCCAGCATTATCTATAAAAATAAGTTTATAAAATTATTTAATAGAGTAAGTAAGTTTATTTATTTTCTTATATATTATTATACCGAGTCCAACCATTAATATTCGATAACGTTTTTTACCAAAGATCGATCCAATTCTATTTCCCATCGAATATTTTTTATTAAGAATTTTTCTAACTATTATTCAGACATTCTTGGTTAATAATTACATTTAATAATCGATCTCAACCAATTATATTAACTATGATTCATCATATTAGATAGCAATTTGACATTTACCAATAAGAAATATTCAAGAGGGCGGTAATCAAAGTAATTGCCTTGACAATGATGAATGTATCATTAAATCCTTGTATGAACTATGCACGCTATCGCAAACATTTAATATATCAATGTATTAAGAGGAGGAGCAAATACAATTTAACTGCAATTATATTCAAGTTAAACATGATACATTCATTTTATTGCTATCAAAATGAAGTTTGCTTGTTTTTTTTTTCACGTATTATTATCGAGACAGTGTTGAATAGACAATCCGATAATTATCATGTCTCTTTTTTTAGCTGAAGCAATTTGAATGATGATCTATGATTAATAGCTCAAATATGAATTGTTAATATGATAAAATAATATGCATACAATATAGAATTCAAAATTTTATTTGAACATATTTTTCAAACTTCTATTACTTTCAAAATAAATATTTCAAGTGTAGAATATCGAATGAGAATACAATTCAATGATTATTTACAAAAAATTAAATCAAAATTTTCGATAAAAAATTTCTTTAATTATAACTTTTATTTATAAATATAAATTCTTATTATAACTTTTTCATAATAGATTTATATAAGATAAGTATTAGAGATATACATACATTTATCTCTCTAAAATCTATATTGTTGAATTAATTCTTTTTGATGAAAGCTTGTTTGTCTTCACTTAAGATAACTTTAGCTGTCAAAAAGATAAACCGTTGATAATTCATATGAGATTTTAATGAAAAAGATAAAACTTTGGATAAACAAAATCTTTTTTCTCATTCTCCATTATAGTTTTCCAAAATAAGTTAAACCAAAAAAAAAAAGGAGAGCAACACAACTTACTTGTCTTATTCATGAAACAATGTCAAAAAAAAAATGTGAATTTAGTTCGTTAGTTATACTGATATGTAAATAATATGCGGTCTAATAACAGAAAAAAAAAAGCAATTCTATTTCTTTTTTTATGTCAACATCCAAACAACATGCTAAAAAAAAAGAAAGAAAGAAAAAGAGAGACAAGTAAACTTGCCTCATTTGACAATGACAGCGGTGGGATTCGAACCCACGCCTTTTACGACTGGTGCCTAAAACCAGCGCCTTAGACCACTCGGCCACACTGCCCGTATTCATCAATGTTTCAATTGCATGTCATACACAAAAAATATCTCACGAATCTAGTTCATCGAATGAAGTATGTGTTCATTTTTTCTTTCCTTTCAAAGTCAAAGTTATTTTGAATTAATTACTTTAATCATTATATCAAATGCAGTGACTAAAACATTGAAAGACAATAAGTATACACATCATTCTCATTAGATTAAAATATAAATGGCAAAACATTAAAAAGAAGTAATTGTTGATGAAAATGGCAAAGATAAATCAAATAAATTGTCTATAAAAATTTTACTTGTCGAATTTGATTGAGTAGAGAGTTTCAAACACAGTTGCTAATAGAAATCTAAATATGATGTACCTAATTGTACAAAAATGAAATTTCATAGAATGTGAAGAAATGAAAAATTACAACGTTTTCTTTCAGGATTTTTCTGTTTTTTCTTTTCTTTTGTCTACTAGACTATGCATAAATCTTAAAAACACTTTAAAATCTCAAATAGATACTTATTCCAGACATGTCACAAAATTTTATCGAATATATTGACAGATACAGAAAATAATTCTTGACAAATTCATGTATTTAAATGAAATTTTGACAAACTATTGAGCTGTAGTAAAGACTTTTATAAAGTCTATTGAAAGAAACATGCCTATACCGATTTTTGCCTTTTCAGAGCAAAATGATCCTTCGTCATAATCGTACCATTTTTTTAACGGATTAATCAAAACTTTTTATTCTTGCTTTATTTTTTAGGATAAAGATCATTCTCAAATGTTTTAATTCTCTTAAAATTTACTTATAGATCAATGCTCAAAAGTTACAAAATAATTCTAAGCATATATTCTGAAAGAATACAAAATTCTGATTCTAACACACTACCAATGCATTTAAATACGTGAAATTTTATAGTAAGCAGCGAATAAAAGAATGAGACACTTTGATTTTCTGCTTTTTTGAAGACAGAAACAGACTCCAAAGACATCATTCTAAGCTTATTCGATAGAGAATCTTTGCTCGACAAAGTTGTTGACTTTATTTTTCAAATAAGTTTTTTCTGTGGCAGAAAAATCGAAAAGATTGGCAATCACTCAGCAATTGAACTGCAAGTGTCAAAAACAAACACAACACTTATTAAAAATATGCTTCAATAACAGGGTTGCCGAAGTTCGAAATATGCTGCATTTTGC